AAAAAATAATATTAATGTATAATATATAATTAATAAATATTAGTTAACAATTAATTAGTATTAATAATGTTTATTCATAATATTTTAATGTTATTAATATTTACTTATAATTAATAATTAATATTAATGAGAGTTATAATTGAAAAAAATGACAATAAGCTACCACAACGCTATTTCAAGTAGCATTTCAATAAGCTATCAAAACGCTACTCCAAGTAGCGTTTCAATAAGTTAGCTTATATGCATCCAAACATGTACCTAGAAAATAAGCTAACTTATTTTGCCAAACAATGGCTAACTCCCCACTAATGAAAATGATTGGTCGAGATTAGTATTAGATGGTTACTAAAAGAGAATTACAAAACATATTAACAGACGACCATTAGTTGACAATTTAATTAGCAGTGGCGATAAACACCAATTGATAACCCGTTAGTGGGTTAAGCCATCAAAGGGGTAACCGTTAGCTGATTTCAACTAGTATTTATCAAGTGATAACACGTCAATAGGTAGTGTACCAACTATAAATCTAATGTATCATTCATCAATATTTGTAAACATTAAGAAATATCCATTGTTAACCATCTTACACTAAAACCGTCGGGGGTGTTGCCCCTAGAACCCCATGCGGTCTTTTGAAGGCGCCATCTAACAACTTGGGTTCAAATTAGCTTACACGAGTATACACTCACACCTCCTAGCATATGATATAACTTAACTATCAATCTCATATTCTCTTGTAAAACCAATTACATAAATAAACCGATGATTTCACTAAGTCATAAACAATATGCTCTTTTCGGATATCACAACTAAAGACGGGATAAGATGATGATTATATACGATTGAAATCGAAGTTTTTCAAGATAGACACAGTTGGAAATTGCTTAAAGTAAATACAACTATCATTCATATCCATATTCCACTTTGTAAAACAATATTTGGCAATTGACGACGCTATAATTACGCATGCAAACTTTTGATCTTCAATAAAGTTTCAACTGTTAATCTTTTAAAACCGGCATTGACTGATAATTCAGGTACAATTGAATAAGTAACTCTTTGCTTTGCTTACTGTTTTTATTAAGCGTATATTTTATATGTTGGTAAAGATATTAAAATTTAATAACTTCTAATATATATATATATATATATATGTGTGTGTGTGTGTGTGTATGTGAGAGAGAGAGAGAGAGAAAGATAATTAGATTTGGTAGAAGTTAAAAAGAGAGACTACTCTATACTATATTATAAGATATTTGATAAAAACTCTTAAAAACCATTTTTTATGCGTAAAGTACTGTTTATTAATGCATATTACTTAAAGCTCAAGACTACAAATAGATTGTACATAAATACAACTTATTAAAGCTCCATATCTGAATTCGTGTAACTAACTGCAGATAAACATAATCAAATAAACATCTCATTTTGAATATAAAAAGTCTATAATATAATTAAAATAATCATTGAATTCTAACAGAATACTAAATTATTATTTTTATAAAATGTTATATTATTAAACCAAAAATAAATTATTTCATTATTAAACTTAAATTAAATTATAATTAAAAAATAAATTAAGGAAATTACCTAAAAAATTAAAACTTTTAAATAGTTGATTTGATATTAACATTGATATTTTTTTTTCAAATTTTTATGATATYTTCAAATTTATATCTTATTCAAAAATAAAACCATTATTGCTTTATTAAAAAACACATAAAATCGTATAATAACATCGGTAGAGACAGATAATAAAATAGAATATTAAAATCGAGATATGTCTTGCGACATTGCATGAATACTCTTCTGATCATAAAAAAAAAAATATTTTGTGTACCATAAAGCATTAATCAATCAAATAGAAAAGAAAGTCCTATGATGGAAGCCAACCCAGCTGCAGAATTGCAGAAGAAACCACACTCTCCCTTAATTAATTTCTCAATAGAAACACTTTAAAAAATAAAAATCATACATACATACTATTTGTATTTGTGTATCTAAAATCCATATATCCATCCTTCACTGCTCTTCAATTCATCATCTGCCACCCAGAAGAAAACCATGCAATTAATTAATTATTAACCCATAATCCCACGTCTTTATATCCTTTTTCTTCCACATCACAAGTTTGAAATTATAGGTATGATGGACATAAATATAAAGTCAAAATACCTGGTGGTGGGATTCCCAAGGGTAAGCTCAAGATCGTCTGAAATGCATTCCTCATGAATCCTTTCTCCTTCCCATGCTTTCACTAAACCTTTCATATTCATACTACTACTACCACCAAAAGCAAACTCATGACAAGCATCCGACATTGCCACGTCTGCTGTTTGCTTCTGATCAGCAGGAGAACATGGTTTCAATCCCAAGGATGCAACCTGTAGGCTGAATGTAGGAGATGATGCTCCTTCTTGAGGTGTTACCCATCCTGAATCAGCCGCCGGAGTTTGGAGACCAGGACTATGTGGAGTAGAACAACAATAAGAAGTTGGTAAAAAGGGATAGTGCTGGCCTTTGCTAATTTGATCATCCATTAATCTAGGAGTCCCACAAGTGGGTGAACTTAGGGGAGGGGTCACCGGAGCGCTTATAGAGCTACCACCCATATATAGATGGTGTGGGAATTTGGACGACGAAGAACCAGATGAAGATAGATTCTTTAGCCAAGGGATAAGAGAATTTGGATCTGGAATAATATTAGATGCATAAAGGGATGAGGTGGAGGAGCTTGGAATAGATGAGGAAGTAGGGCTGAAATTGTAGGAACCATTTGGACTTGGTTGGTATGTTGATGAACATGGACTGCCTGTTGCCGATCCACCCATACTCTCCATACGTACTACTTCAACAGGTTTACATCCCTACAAACACAACACAATAACTGATTCATTAATTAGCACCAACTTCTGAGACAACCCAGAGACCGATCCAACTTAAAAGGTGTGTATAATAAACATGCTTACTTGGTTAGCATCAAGTATAAAGCTCTGGTCACAACTAGAGTCTAGAGATCAGAAAACATCTTACTGACTACAACGCTTTTCAAGGACAAGATTAATTTGAACAAGTGGGGAAGATCATCTCAACAGTTTTTGTATTCATATATGATTCAAGTAGGAATCCGCATGAAATCAACTCCCCTGAGCTCCAATCAAATGATTAATATATATGGTAATCATAAAACCAGTCTATAAACGGTAGCTTACGAATTCCTTTAGCATGCCCAATATGAAATACTCTTTATGGAACTTAAAACGTACTACTTCCAAAGCCATGTTGACATAAGTTTTCAAACAAGATGCATCAACTTAATGAAGGCAATCTTATGCTTGCAGGGTCACACAGATTTGCTAATTAATGCAATCGTGGGGAGAATAAGTTCAAAAAGTACACTCTGTGGAACTTTTCTTAAACATTAAACTCCAATTGACATTATAGATAACAACCATACTAAGACCAGAGTAGACTACTAAATAAGATTAGTTTAAAACCATCTAGCAGAGTCGTGTACAAAAAAATTCCCTAAATGAAGTTCTAAACAAACCCAAATCCCCAAATCCCCAAATCTTTGACAAACAAGTCACCATGAAAGAGGGTCTGGAAATCCATGGGCTGGCCATTTGGTCAACTGGACTCAAGAAAACAAAAGTAAATCGCTGTCCACATTCTACACGAAGAAAATAAGCAGATGGAGTACCATACGAATTATGAATGATACGATGTGGCTAAAAAGTGACAAGCCAGATTTCACAAATTCTCAACCCAGTCCCGAGTCCTCCATATATATATATATATATATATATATATATAGGAAAGTTAACACCCAAAAGGTATTTAGGAAGATAATGGACATACACAAAGATACCCATTGGAAATTTATAAGATGAACAATATGGACGCTGATTATTCTACTAGCTGACCATCAAGAAAATTCTCCTTGAATATTGGTCCAGGACCAGAGATTTGGCATCTACTTTTTCAAAATCAGAACACAATTACACAGATGAATAGTAAAATTAAGATGCAAAATAATAACCAATCATGAAAGTGGAGATAATCATGGCACCAATAGAAATCCCAAAAAAAAAAATACTCGGACAAAATCAAAGCTCATAATAAGTGAACCAAAAATAGTTGTGCTTTTGCATGGCATTTCAAAAGAAAAAGTGTAGGCCCGACTTCATTTGCTATAGTCAACACACGAAAAGCTCAAATCACCATAACCATCCATGATGCACCACCGAAAATTGAGAAACAACCCTAAAAAACAATTCTGAAATTTCGGAAGATCTTTTACAAGTTTCGAACAAGTGATTGAATATGCTAATTACCCTTTTCCTGCATTTCTTGAATTAAATTGGCGTATATTCTTCATATAATGTTGGTTACAATCAATGAAGTTTTCTGGAAATGATAAGGTAACCGTACAAACTGTAGTCTAACCTGGGGACTGGGGAGACTGTCTAAACTGAAAAGAGAACAGAAACTGTTGTATTCCGTACAGAGAACGGAAACTGTTGTATTCCGTACGTGTTCACATGGATCGTCATAGGCTTGGGAGGACACAATTATTAATAAATTAAGGAAAAAACTTTGCCTCCATGGCTGAAAATCTTTAGAGAAAGATGAGTATGAGAGAAGTGAAAACAGATCAGCTAACCGATCCTCCCTCAGTCCCTCGTGCTAGCATGCGCCAAATGCTCAGCAAGCACGTTACCTTGTCGGTGATAACGACAAATCTCCAGATCCCTTCACACACTGGCACACTCAAATATGTGCTTTTAGAAACAACAAATACTGATCGTTTGGTTATCCTGCTAACATACACGTCATACCATGACGGAAAACTGCAAGAATTTCATCTCGATTTTGCATTCAGTTTTCAAATTTAAATCGAGATCGATAGTCGAGTTGACTAAGAAAGGAAAACCGTAACCAAAAAATTAGATCCCAAACTATTAAGGCTTCAAAAACCTCGTTTCTAATGTGAGCGGGACGGTGGAACGAAGATGAATTGTCTAAAATTCGTGAGTAGTTGCTATAATTCAATCTTAGATACCTAACATACGGACGGGACTATCACTGAAATCATTGGGCTCAATTTTTCAACAAGAAAGGACATATGATCAATCAGTAAAGCATGGAGAAATGAAAGCAATAGTTCGATTATAAACCTCGCATACTACCATTAGGAAGGCGGATAAAATCATCCGCAAAAGCAGTAATTCCTTCACAAAAACTCGTTTGCTAACGTGCGCAACACGACAATCACGCCGGTTACAAAACAATCGGAGAAAATTGAAAGAATAGGATGAAAATGATTCTGATTATTGTTCATTTACCTTACGATAAGTAGTTCCATCTTCTTCCACTATCCAACCAGCTTCGTTACAAAGGGCTTTCAATACTTCGTTGTTGTCGCAGTGCTTAGGCAGCTTGTAGTTTCCGTAGACTCTAAGTCCGGCGAATATCTTGGCGGCGATAGCTCGTCGCCGTCTCTCTCTCCGCTTGTTATTCTCTCTCTCCTTCCAAGTCGGTAATCTCGACCCAGACGTCATATATATAGATAATATATATATATCAAAAGAACAATAAATACCTACTCCGGCTACTCCCTCGATGACCAGACGAATAAAGGCACCGCCGGGAAACGGTGATCGCCGGCTGCCGGCAAAGGAAAGAGTGAAGCAAGTGAAAACCAAAAAGGTGGGTATGGTTAGGTGTAACGAGGTGAGGTTTATATATAAAATAGATATAGATTAAAAGTGTTAGATGATTGGGGCTTAAATATCCATTAAATCACGAGAAAGCCATTGAATGGTTCAAAGGAATCCTGGAAAATTGGGGTCTGCGCACGTGGAACGTGTTTAGTCTTTTCAAACTAAGAAGCGATTGATTGGAAATGGAGATGTTCAGAACGTCGTCGTTCTACGAATTTCGTGTTTACTCCGGAAAAAGACGGTGGCGCGTTTGATTTGGGAAATTGATTTAAACATGACATCTATCAACCAACTTTATTTTTTTTGGGCCGTTTACCAATCATTTATTCGGGTAAGCGTTTATTAAGTCATGTTATTTCAGCGGAGTGAATATGTTAAGGACCAATAATCTTATCCGGTAAGAACGAGACAAGGAACATGAGTTTTACTCGGTAAGTAAGAGCGACGTCTCTTACCATGGTAAGCGCTTACCGGGTGAATTGTTGCATACAATGTCATTTTGATAGATTAAATAATAATGTTAAATTTTACCGGTAAGCACTTACCGGGTAAGTGTTTGGTAAACGGCCCCTAAAAACATTTGAATTCATGCAGAAATATATATATATATATATATATATATATATATATATATATATATACATATATATTTTAATTTTGTAATCGAGTTTTAATATAATAGTGTTTAGAGACCAAAAAATATAAAAAAAAAAAAGGATAAAAAACGACTAGTTAACGGCTATATTTAAAAAAAATGTCATTTTGTTAATATTTCGGGCCTGACCGGGCCAGTCCATAACCGGTCAGTCCCGGTCCCACAAATTCGACAAAAACCATAACCGGATGTAACCGGCGGTCCCATAACCGGTCCCGAGCCGGGCCGGTCATTGACCGGTCTCGGTTTCAGTCCTCTGACGGTCCTAGGCCGGGACGGTTTCGCCATCACTAGATGCCTACCAAACTCTCTCAAGGTTGGTGGGCATCTAGGGATTTTTTTATTAGTGTATGATGAAGATCAATTCATCGAAATTAGATGAAGTTCAATTTTCATGCTTGGCACAATGTTTTATTAAGTGTAGGATCGTCTCATTATTTTTGGAGGCTCTATTACATTCGTATTAAAATTATAGATTATCTGAAACAAAATAAAATATAAAATTTCGTATCATAACAAATCAAATTTTTAATCCTACAAATTAAAACGACAAAATTGTTTAAAATGACAAACCAAGAAGATTATCAAAGTGTCACTTTTGTTTTCGGTTTTGAAAGAAATTATATAGGTCTTCATTGAAATTGGTTCACAGATTGGACCATATAAATCTAATTGGACCCCAAAATTTTAGAGATACTGTTCAAAAACCAAGATTTAACCTGTTAATAAAATGATCACAATTGAATGTCTGAAAATGGTATTGGTTCAATTCAATATCTATTTGATCGAATAGTTATGTTTATTTGATTCAATCAGATATTATTTTTTCAAGAATCTTTATTGGTTATTAATAAAAGCTTCAATTTAGTTGACAACTGTTTTCAATCTTGAGTAATTTTCTGTATCAAATAAATAAACCCTTCATATTCAAGTAATATTGTATTAAATCAATATAAATGTCCCTAAATATGCTACACATACAATTATGAGTATACAAAAACTTGACCAATCAAATATGAAGTCAATCCAAACTATATGTACTGGATTAAGTTTATTTGAACCCAATCCAACCTGATAAACTTGATAATCTCTCTTATATGTTATATCCCTTTCAGATATCTCCAATCCACCATTAAAACAGTAGAGTTTTTGGTGTATAGTGAATGATGCTTCTACATTTAGAAGTTTATTGTTCATCACCTCTAAAAATGTGTACAATGTAACCACAAGGGTGATGCCTGATTGGTTTGAGCTTGACTCCTGTAACGCCCCAACCCACACATTGCATGTAATACATATTTCATACAAAGGAAATACATATTATTATCTCATTCAGGTTTCTTAGTACAAGAATCTAACATGACCAATTACAAGGTCCAAAAATTTGAATTACATTTCCTGTACTAATCAGTCAAAACAGATCTTTAAGCAGAAGCGCATAAAGGAAAATATTACACCTTCCTCTTCCCCTTACTGTCTGAACCTCCTGCAACACATAGTTTAAAATCACAAAACGAGGGTTAGACCGAAAGGTCTAGTGAGATACCCTATTCATGTCATTGCAGGGTGAAGGATCACCAAAACTTTTTTGAAAACAAATAATCATATACAACAATTATATGAACACATAAAAATTAATACCAGATCATTTTCCACTTTTCAAGCTAAGCATTCTGCTTATTCAAATCTCACAACTCTGAACCCATCAGGTTCCACATAATGCCACTTTTAAACATTTTCTTGATCAACAAGGTTATTTCAAAGCTTCAGGCCAAACCTGACATTTTCTCCTTAATAACATTCAAACTATGATTTCCAATAAGAACCTTAATCCTAATTCTTTAAGTCACAAAGAAATAAAGACTCCGGATCACGGTAATCTTAAAGGATATAATAGAATGAGTTATCTCATATAACCCACATACAAATGTCACCCTTATATCCAAATGTACACCTCTCCTTGATATGTCACCCTTATCCCATGGTACACCTCTCCTTGATATGCCACCCTTATATCAAATTTACACTTCTCCTTGATATGCCACCCTTATATCTTCATCAAAACATTTTATAAAAATGATTCCAAAAAGACCGCAGCCATTGGAATTATTATCTGTCCAAAAATCATTTATATCATAACACAAGGTACATCTCGAATCCGGTCAATAATCCGGTCAACACATCGAACAAGCATTGTTCGATTTAAATACTTAGAAAATAATTTCCAACCTTGTTCGGATATCAAGTCCGGACAATACACCGCATAAGCTTTGGTCGGTTTAACACTTAGAAGCAAAATCATCTTTATCCGGATATCAAGTCCGGACAACAATCCGCTCAAGACTTGACCGATTTAAATAAACCGCTCACCATTTGATCGATTTAAGACATAGAATAATCTCAACAACTTGTCCGGATACAAGTCCGAATAACACTTCATACAACCTTTGACCGGTTTAATAATATCCGGACAGTACACCGCTCAAGGCTTGTCCGGTTTAAGAACAATCCGAGCAAGCTTTGTCCCATTTAACACTTATCCGGTCACTCTTTGTTCGGATAAAACTTTAAACATAAGGTATGGTTTCAATCCAAATAATAAACAACATTCAACTAAAAAAAACCAATATAAATATTATGCAAAAGTTTAGAAACCACTCACCTTAATAAGCTTTTGAAACCAAAATGCTTGAAATCAACTTGAAATCACCCCCTTTTGCAACTCCGGACAACTCTCTCTAAATCTCTCAATTTTTCTCAAAATGGCAGGAGGAACAAATGAAGAGGCTAAGCCCCTTTTTATACCTTCCAAACATGGAAGGTCGGCTAAACCGCCTTCCTTTCCTCCCTTTCCACCTCATGCATACTCAAATATGCACATATGCACACACACACACATACATACTTACTCCATGCATAACTTTAACATGCATGCACACACACACACACACACACATATATATATATATATATATATATATTTATTCCAATTAATGCACAAATTCACATACCAGCATGTATCAAATTATCATGCTATCACGTAATCATTTAATCAAATAATCACATATTTATTACCTTGGGTAATAACCAGGATCCGGTTATTACAACTCCAAAGGTCAAAAGTACCAGGAGGTCCCAGGTTCAAATCCAAGGAGGAATAAAAATTCCCTTGTGGCCACGGAGGTTCAAATACGATGACTCAGGCTATCTGCAAAGCAGGTGGTTGCCTTGGGATTAATCGGCTCGCATAGCGGGTTGGATATCTATGTTAATAAAAAAAAATGTGTACAATGGCTTTTAGAGTTTTGTGTTTCTATGGGGATTGACCCACTTTTAGTTTTTTAGAGGTATGGATTGAAGATGATCTTATATGTTATATACATCTGTTGCTAGACATGTTAGTGTTGTATTTGATCAGCGTGATCATAACAAATAACTCGTTAACTCTTTTAATAATTGTTTCATAATTCCACCTGTAATTTTAATATCTATTTGCATGTATTTTCAATTTTTTTTCTTGGTGTTGATCTGACTTTTTCTTTATTCTCCACTTAACATAAAAGATTAATTAATTATCCCGTAGGAGTAACTAATGATTTTTTAAGCACGTTATTGCAATGTGACTGTTATATCATAATCTAAACACTCAGCCTACGACAACTCAATCCACATGGATTGAATTATTAAGCAAATTAAGAAGTTTCAAACCATACAAGTTAAATTAAATTGTTCAAATATCTTCAAACTGATTAATATAGAATGCTAAGTATTTATTATATAAAATAGGCCACGTGAAATGTAGAATTAGAGGGGAAATGATCATTCACGTGCACAATAGTATCCACGCGTTCCTTCTTCTTGGATAACGATTATACCATTTTCTATTGTTATTTTATCGAACTTTTATTTATTCTTTTTAATATTTATTAAATACATAAGAAAATATTACAAAAATAGAATATATATATATATATATATATATATATATAATGAATTAGGATAAGTCTGATAGGTGTGATGCCATTAGAAATTTTGTAAACACCACATAGATATTAGACAACACATGTGCTGCAACTCCTATATATTATTATCTTCTCTTTTATATTTATATATATATATATATATATATATATATATATAGGGTTGGGTTCACGTGAGACCAGAGGTTTTTCGTGAGACCCGTAAGACCAATTTATGTTCATTGATCAACTTTATAAGCTAATGATCTAATGGTCTAAAGTTKCACGGCGATAATTTTGTGATTATTGAGAAATTTCATAGCAATTTTGTGATTATAAATGTTCAAATTGTGKATCTAATCTAATGGTTGAGAATTGGTCTTACAGGTCTCACGAAA